GCCGGAACACTCAGCTGCATCTCAGAGACAAGCAGCTGCGCGCTCGAGTGCCAACAGCGGCCAGTGAGAGGGGGAGATCTGCAAGGAGCGACCGGTGGGCTTTTCTTTTGCCTGAGGAACCAGTCTGCCCACTCAAAGACAGAATTTTCCCAGATGAGACACTGCCTTAGTAAGCGTGTAGGAGTGAGGCAACTTATTTAGGATCTGGAACCCACGGACCCTGAGTGAACAACACAAAGCTAAGATGGGGTGGGGAGTCCAAACACTATACCATGTTTCTTCAGCCCCTGGGTCGATTTCTACCTGACAATTTAGAGTCATAAGATATCATAATCTCGGCTGGCACAGACAGGTGATGTGAATAGATCCACTCAGGTCTAGCTTTTACAAATAATAATAATAATAAAAAAAAAAACACAAAAAAATAAAACCAAAGGAAAATAATTTCCTGAAACCTGGCACTCTGCAGGCCACCATTTGGGTCGGGCAGAACTTTGCCATGCTGAATGAAGGCAGCATCCAATAGAAGGGCCTTTAGCATGCTTAACACCCTTCCCTTTCTAGGAAGTTGCTATTAGTCTGTACGCTAATTTTTTTTTCTGTTCACATGCTGTTCAGCCAGGCCCAGACTGGGGAGTAATCAAAAAGAACATCTGCAATGATCATCATCTCTGTAGGTAGGAATTTGCTCATTATTTCACTGGTTACATTTGAACACCAGCTGCATGTTAAAAAACAAAAACAAAACCAAAACCCCCACAAACCTGTGGAGGAGTGTTGTCCGACAGTTTTATTTAGAAATGCTCTCTACTCCTTCCTTCAGGCATGCCTGAGTGCTGGTAAAAAAAGAGAGGTAGGTTTTGTTTTCCCTTAATGACTATTCCTAAAAATGTTTTTATGGGTATTTTACGATAAAGCTGGTGTTGAGTTAGTTGGTTTGCCTTTTTGAAGGGATTTCAGTTAACATAACGCACAAAAGAAGCTGAAGCTGAGGATATCCTCAGTTCTGCAGGCAAAGATGCCATTAATCTTTTGACTTACACTAGTTTAAAATGTGATGGGGTATTTTTGTAAAGTGGGGCTTATTTCAAAGTGCTGAATTAGGGCAAGTTTGGGATTTTTTAATTAAAAGCGTGTAGCTACAGTCCTTTGGGTCAAAACGGGGATGTTTTTTCAAGTGTTTCAGTGGTCGTAGGGAGAGTTAAATTATGTCGTTGAACAAACTGCCACTAAGACAGAGGCCAGAGACTGAAATTTGAGTAGATAACTGCAGTAAAAGTAACAGTTTTTCTTTTGCAAGTGCAATGAACTTTTTTTTTTAACTTAGTATTTGGAACAAATGGGAATACACAAATGCTGGTTGTTTTAAGTGTGTGGTAGTAAGGTGATACTGGAGAAGATAGTACAACTTCATAGCATTAGGTCAACAGTTGGACTCAATTATTGTAAGGGTGTTTTCCAACCTAAATGATATATATACTAAATTCACATTAAAGTAATTCATCTGCATCACTTCTTTCCAGTTCACACGATCACAGAGGAGCCTATGTCTTGGCATGATAATATAGAAGAGCCAGCAGATGGCAAGAAACCTGAACAGCTTGTGATAATTACATAAAAAAATTACTAATAAATAAGATCTAAAAATTCCAATTAGTCTAAAAGATTACATACATGGAAGCACATGTGAAAACATAAGAAAGTTAAACTCATTCATTATTTTTGTTAAACATAAGGCAGGTTTTTTGCCACTTTGAGGCCCTTTCCCATTATCATCAGTACAAGCAGCTTGCATTCATGCAATTCAGCTTTTATTTTCATTTTTAAGTTATCACACTATGAAATTCTGCTTGAGAACGTAAACCTCTTTCAGAGGAAAACCAAAAAATATCATCTGGAAATACGTTTTATCCATATATGCTGGCTGGCATTACAGATTCTACCTAACCGCTGCATATGGTAAAATGCTGAAACGGCTGCCAAGCCTTGCTTTAGATCACTAGTAAAAGGAACCCTTATAGCAACTGCTCCCTTATTTCTAATGTGCCAATTTTGTCTAAAAACCTTAATGGTTGGTTAAAGTTGGCCTGTTAAAAAATTTCTTTTAAGAAATAAGAGAAAAAAAAAAAAACAAAACCCACACCAAAACAGGGAAAGGCAGCAGGTCTCAGGCAACTGAGAAAGACGAATGCTAACGTGGCGCGCTGGTTGAGACTATATGTGGTATAAGAAAAGTAAGATGCTGCAATACAGTGGACAGGGATGACAGAATTAACAGAACGGTATAGGCAGGCAAGTCTTGAAACTACATTGGAATAAATTTGAGTAGAAGTTTCACCCTGCATTCTCTTACAAGATCATTTGCACAAGCACAGAAGTTGCCTTCAGCCTTGGCTTTCTTGCTATTGCTTGGACAGTGTTAGGATCACAGAATCACAGAACAGTAGGGGTTGGAAGGAACCTCAAAAGATCATTTAGTCCAACGCCCCTGCCAGAGGAGGACCACCTAGAGTAGTTTGTTAGGATGTCCCATTCTAATATACAACCATGTCCGACTGCTTTTTAAACGTACTTTCTTTCATTTATATTTGTGTCTCAAACCAATAGCTGAGTTTCTGAACCTTATTCACCATGCAGCCCTGGAGGTAACAAAGAAATATTCAGAGCCACAAACTGAAAGCCAAGAAATTGGCTGGAACATGCCACCTTGGATGAGCACGAGGCATTAAGGACGCTGCTCTTTGCAGGATTCAGAGATGTTCAGCCCATCACACTGAAAGATATTCATGCAAGAAAATAATTTGTGACAAACATGGAAAACGGGAATGACTAGGAATGAGCAGAACCGTTAATTTTAAAATTCACACCTAAGAGGACTCTTCCACTGGCATAGGCTTGGGAACACAGAAACAGTAGACTTCCCCTGAGAAACTTGCCTGCAAAATATCTACAATGACAGTTGACCCCAAGCATATTGCCAAATGCCACATAGATAGTCACAGCTGTTTATTAAAGCATTCAGCCATGAGAAATGGTGTAGTGAGCAACGTGAAGTGATACACAAACGTACTGTGAAAAGAAATGTTCTGCTGTACAGTATCTTTCAAACTGCAAGCAGAACCATAAAATTAATAATCAGCTCAGTATACCTGAGGCAGAATACACCAGTGAGAATTCATTTGGGGAAGCTTGAATGAGCAGAAGGAAAATCAATCTTATTAACAAGCTGACATAGCAAGCACATCTGACAAATGAATAGCTGTGATGATGACTGACCTTTGTAATTAGCGTTTCAAGAAAGGCAAATGAGGGCCTGATTAATTTTGGCCTGTTACAAAGCAAACTAAGATAAACAAGAAAATAAGATAGACTTCTGCAACTTTTCATATTACACTTCAGGTAAACTAGTTACTCATGATAAAGCTGGATGATAAGACATCCCAGCAGGGCTTTACACCGGCAGGAAAAAGACAACTAAATTTGCATGTACGGAAGAGAGCTACATTTATAAAGTCATGACTCATAATGCCGTTTCATGTTAGGTTTTCCTTCTTCACCAGGTTTTACCGTAACTTAGCAGTAAACAGTATATTCTCAGGTAAGCAGTACCCTACTCGTTTGTCACTTGGGCATTTCTCAGCAGCAAGAACAGCATGCATCACTCTTTTGAAGAGGGACTACTACTACTAATTCTAGTAAAAGCACATGACTATTCATTTTCCTTTCCCAGATTCACATGGACCATACTGATTGCAGACTCCACTTCCCACGCCGGAGAACCATTATCACTAAATAAATGGCTGCCATGGGGCACGGCGAGGAGCAGTCTGAGAACCTGCAGGAGCAGAGAGGCAAAGCCATACAACTTAGATAGAAGCAGTTAACGACATCTAATGGGGGTCCTGCTTGCTCTTAGGTGAGTCCAGTAGATTTCTGGCCAGAGAAGGTAGCGAGAAAAGGGAAAAGAGAACCTCAGTCTGTCCAGATTTGCAGCCTGACAATAGTTACAGAAATAAACCTATTTATAAGATTGCTACATTTATCTCACTGCCGTTTCCAAACCCATCTATATAAATAGTCGAAAAAACACTTTAACATCTTGACAGGCTTCAGACTTCGTATTTTGATATCGGCAACATGACCCAGAACCCAAATTCACCAAGTACACATCAACAGTACCTGTGGAAAAAGCCGTCAGAATGAAGTGAACAAAGGGCAGGCTTCAGCCACCATTCATAACGCAGCTAAACACAAGTTTGACATAGTTCTGTGCAAACCATTTAATGCGTTCACACACCAAAGGTTTAAGCAGAAAACAATCCTTCAACAAAACAGACATTAAGAAGAAATTAGTGATAAGGCACTGGTTTCCACTGACTTTCTTCTTGCCACTTGGAAGCATCCAGCTTGCTCCGCAGTTAGCTGCTTGATGACGGCAGAAAAACATCTTGTGACACACAGAAACACAGGAATCCTACTGGGGATCACAGTCCTCCTATCGTGCTCGGCTCCTCATTTTCTGCCTTGCTCTCTTTCCAGGTCTCTTCTGCAAAAAAATCAGAGATTTGTAAGGTTGGAATAGACCTCTAAGATGATCAATTCCAACCACTGACGTAATACCACCACGCCTACTAAAACAAGTCTAGAAGTGCCACATCAACATGTTCTTTGAACGCCTCCAGGGATGGTGACTCCACCACTTCCCTGGGCACCAATGTTTGACTACTTTTTCAGTGAAGAAATTTTTCCTAATGTCCAATCTAAACCTCCCCTGGTGTAACTGAAGGCCACTTCCTCTTGTCCTATTGCTAGTTACCTGGGAGAAGAGACTGACCCCACCTCACTACAACCTCCTTTCAGGTAGTTGTAGAGAGCGATAAGGTCTCCTCTCAGGACAGATTCAGATCTTTACTTTCATGTCCCTCCATCTTTGTTCTAGCTCTATAGCTTGGGGAGGATACCAAGGAGAGGATATTTGGCAGTACCTCTGGAGATGGAGATTTTGGGACACAGCTAGCAACAAAGAGTACTGGCTAACTCCCCCACTCGTTTTCCTGCTCAGACACTGAACCACCATCCTCAACTCTGCCTGCAACTGAATTATCCTCAGCTCCCAAAGACAGGCATTGTTACCTCCAGATGCTGGAGGCATCCATCATGTACTCAGCTCTCCCTCCCACACCAGGGCTGGCTTCCTAGTGAACCAGGATCATTTGCATGCAACATTTTACTTACATTGAGGGCTTTTTTCCCTCCTTTTCCTGGGCCTTTGTTGTGAGCCACTTTTGACCGGAAGCTGGATACATCATTAAAACTCTCCTTCGTGTTCCACTTTGAGCCCTTCTTCTTCCCACCAAAACCAAACTTCTGATTCTTGTATCGTCTTTTGGCATTTGGTCTGAAAAACAACCGAACAGCATCATCACCTATATTCCTTTCCTCAGGAAGCTCTCAAGAAGCCATCATAAACCTTTCCCTTCTTATTGAAGAGACAGAAACTAGCATATTTCAGACTTTGTTCCATTCTGGCCATCGTTTTCCTCCTCTGTAGGGACAGAAAGCCATCTCAGACTTATTTTAACAAACATTAATCAGAAAAGCTCTCTTGTTCCACAAAATGACCCCCTAAAAGACTGGAAAAAAAATAATCAGAGATTCTGCATTTAAATATCCTTCTTTTCTGGTCTCACCCCTTCTTTATCCGTTGACTTGCACTGCCTTTTTTATTCCCCTGAGACGACATCTGCTCTTCATCTAGAAAATCCAGCTTGTCAGAGAGACCTGCAAGAGCGAAGACATAACAGTTGCTCAGCTACCACTGCAGAAAATACGAATTTTCAGTCTAAGCAAGTAATAGCGACAAGTCACCCTCACTGAAGAACAGCTGCTTGGGAGGATTTTCGCTGCCACTGGCATATGACTCTGCACAGCAGCAGCCTTTCAGGCTCACTGCCCAGCGCTACAGATTGACACCACACATCACACTGCCTTACATTGCTCACACATCGCTATTCCCATTACACATTTGCTCTCTTAGACAAGTCGACTTTACCTTTCTGGTATTTCTTGACTGCATTCAACATATTTTTTTTCTCCTTTTGTCTCCTCTGCAGAATCTCAGTTTGCACCTGAGATTAGAAACAGAATGTTAGTGCTGTTCTTTGTAGTGTCCCATACTTTAAAGTATTCAATTTTTTGCTCTGTCTTCCTTCAAAGCAGGAAGACAGAAGACTAGACAGATTCCATATATTTTTAGCCAGCCTCCTGTGGTCTCACTTTCACCGCTCCTCACTCAGGCTCCAGATTCTTATAGATAGGCCCCTTGTGTAGCTCCTCCTCACCTTCTTGCCATATTTTCTCATTGCACGGAGCTGTTTTGCTTTCTCAGACCTCTCCATTGCTTCCTGCTTAGTCTTAAGCTTCTGTCGAATCTTATTAGGGGACAGAAAAAAACAAAATTTATCAGTAACACAAAGGAAAATATCACAGAATCACAGAATGTTAGGG